CATGAAGCTGAATTTAAAACACAGACTGTGTCCTATTTTTTCCAGCATATGTATATGCAATTGCAGCTCTGCGGTTGTGCATCTGATCTTGAAAATTTTTCTATCACACTGTACAGATTTTTGTTTTAACTCTTTATGTATGCCTTTAATTGCCTGGGCAAGCCAGGCTGGCAGTGCTGTGGGAAGTGATGCCGGGGCAAGCCTCGGGTTTTGGCCGCAGCATCTTTGCTTGGTTCACCCCCAGAACCCCGAAGAGCCTGGAAAGGCACCTTGGAGATCCCTGCGAGGGGAAAGGGAAGGGCGAGAGCTCCGAGCCGGGAGCCCCATCCTCGCAGGAAAGCGCGTCTGCAGGATGATTTTGGGCATTCCACCTTAAAAGCAAAGCCGGCGCTGGGAGGAGAGCGGGGCTGCCAGCCGGGAGCCGGGAGCCGGCAGGGCTGCTGCCTGCCCGAACCGAACCGAACCGAAGAGCTGCGTGCCGGCCCCGGGCAGCGGGGCGAGCGGGGCGAGCCGGGCAGCGCGCTCCGCAGCATCCCCGCAGCATCCCCGCAGCCCCGCGGCATCCCTGCATCCCCGCAGCATTCCCGCAGCATCCCTGCATCCCCGCAGCATCCCCGCAGCCCCGGGCCATGGCGGAGGCGGGCCCGCGGCGGGGCGGGCGGCCCGCCCGGGATGCGGTAAGGCTCCGGGCCCGCCGTGCTGCGGAAACCGGGACGGGCCCGGGGGAGGCAGCGGCAGCGCGGCCCGCAGCGCTCGGGGCCGGCGGCGCGGGGGGATTCAGGGCATCCTCCGTGCGGGAGCGGCCGGGCGCTGGTACCGCTGGGCACCGCTGGTACTGCTGGGTATCGCTGGTACCGCTGGTACTGCTGGGTATCGCCGGGTATCGCTGGTACCGCTGGTACTGCTGGGTATCGCCGGGTATCGCTGGTACCGCTGGTACTGCTGGGTATCGCCGGGTATCGCTGGTACTGTTGGACGCCGCTGGCTGTTGCTGGGTGTCACTGGGAATCACTGGGTGTTGGTGGTACTGCTGGGTATCACTGGGTATCACCGGGTACCACTGGGTACCCCAGGTATCCCTGGGTGTTGATGGTACTGTGGGTGTCACCCGGTATCACCGGGTGTCAGTGGGTATCAGCAGGTACCCCGGTAGCGCTGGGTATCACTGGGTACCCCCGGTATCAGCGGGTACCCCCGGTATCAGCGGGTGCCCCGGTATCACTGGGTGCCTCCGATATCACTGGGTGCCCCGGTGCCCGCAGTGCTGGGTATCAGTGGGTACCCCGGTATCACTGGTGCCCCGGTGCCCCCGCGGTGCCGCTCCCGTCCGTGCCCGCAGCAGCGGCTGTGCCATCGCTCCCGCGGGAAGGAAAGCCGCGGCACGGAGGGGGCCCTGCACGGACCCGACCCCGCCAAGCTGACAGCGTCTTTGGTTAATTATGGTTAATTTGGTTAATTAGGTTAATTATGCAGCCGGCCGAAGTAAAGGTAGCAGAGCTCTGGGGAGTTTGGTTCTGGGTCCGGGGGAAGTTCAGATTAGCAGTACCTGGCGTTTTGTGCATGATTTTCCTTTAAGGGGCAGCAGAAAGTCATTCAGTTCAGCACCTGTGTAAGGACTCCTGGCCTCAGTCTGCAGTGCTCAGAAAGAAACTTACTGGCAGATACTGCTTTGTTTTACAATTTATTTGATTTTTTTACTTATTGATTTCCAACCTCATGGATGCCCCGGTGAACTGCAGGGAAGAATAGTGTCTGAAAACAGAGTTCCTAAAATTGGTGTAAATGTTAAAGTCACACTACCTGTGTCAGAATGAGATACTCAGTAATGAGGCAGTAACTGGGATGCTTTCAGTGCATGTCCTTTCTTGTGCTTTGTTAGCCCAGTTCGTCTGTGTTGATTAAGTCAGGGCTCTCTGTGTGGTCATAGTTAAATGTGCATTTAAAAAGCTGCTGACCTGGCCTTAAGGTACCGTGTGTGTCCTGGGAAGGGGAGGGTGTTGAGCAGGGCTGTGGTCAGTGGGACAGTGAGCAGCAGTGACTGAGGTGTTGCCAGCTGCCTGATTTATGGAACTGTGCTGGGAGTTTTCTGCCTTTCCTGGTGTCCTGCAGAGGGCAGAGGCTTTAGAGGGCTCTTTAGGTGTTTTGTTACATAACCCCAAGGTTTATCAAGTGCACAGGATTCCTTTTAGTCTTACAAATGGTGAGATAAAGCATAAGGCAAGATTAAGGATCCTTTTGTCTGTGCTTTCTGTAATATGTTGTGGGAAAGGGTTTTTTGCAGCAGTGCTTTCAGTATCATTAGAGTTCAGTTTTCAGGAAACTTATCTACACTTCAGCCCTGAGAAAAACTGAAATTGTTACAATAATTAAAAAATATACAATCCCTACAGGAATGTTATGTTGAGGAATTACTGGTCTATGTAAGTTTTTTTTTTTTTTAGCATTTCATCCTTTCCCTTAAGTATCTAAGAGGGCACAGGACATGGCTTGTTGGTGTCTGTCTTTCTACAAGCTTATTTCTTGTCTTGCTCATTTTTTCCCCATGCTTGGAATACATTAGGTGTCATTTGCAAAGCTGTGTTTCCTGCTTTGTAGCTACTTGTAAGTGCTGACCTTGATCCTGTATGTGTAAGATCAGCTAAAAAATCCCCAGATGCTTTCTAAACTGAGTGGAAATCCAATCATCTGCCCTGGAAACTCAGCTCTTTTGAGGTGAAATACCAAGGAGCAGGAGGGGTACAATGCTGTGTGTATGGCTGTCCCTGGGGTGCAGGGGGCAGTGCTGTGCTCCCCTGGTGTGTGTGGGTCACATTGGCATCCTGCAGCCAGGGGTGCAGGGGGCAGTGCTGTGCTCTCCTGGTGTGTGTGGTTCATGTTGGCATCCTGCAGCCAGAGGTGCCAGGGGTGCAGGAGGCAGTGCTGTGCTCCCCTGGTGTGTGTGGATCACATTGGCATCCTGCAGCCAGAGGTGCCAGGGGTGCAGGGGGCAGTGCTGTGCTCCCCTGGTGTGTGTGGTGTGGGTCACATTGGCATCCTGCAGCCAGGGGTGCAGGGGGCATCCCTGCCTGTTGTATTTGTGGGGTTCCCAGATGAAGGAAGGAATGAGGAATCTGACTCCATGTTTTCAGAAGGCTAATTTATTATTTTATGATTTATATTATATTAAAGAAGATTATACTAAACTATACTGAAGAATACCAAAAAGATATTTTCAAAAGGCTAAAAGATATGAATGAAAAATTTGTGACTCTCTCCAGAGCCCCGACACAGCTTGACCTTGATTGGCTATTAAGTCAAAATAATTCACATGAAACCAATGAAACAATCACCTGTTGGATAAACAATCTCCAAACACATTCCAAAGCAGCAAAACACAGGAGAAGCAAATGAGATAATATTGTTTTCCTTTTTCTCTGAGGCTTCTCAGCTTCCCAGGAGAGAAATCCTGGGCAAAGGGATTTTTCCAAAAACTGTGACTGTGGCACCTGCCCTCAGCCAGGCAGCTCCCAGTGGTCCCTGGCAGCTGGACTTGTCTCCTGCCTGCTGCTGCCCCTTCCTGCAGCTTTCCTCCCCTGCACAGGGGCTCCTAGGGGCTGGCATTCAAAGCCTGCAGGTTTTCCCCTGGGGAATTGGGTTTGGACACCCAGGCTCTTCCCCCAGGGAGGTGCCTGTTAAAAAGGACCTGAAGGAGAAAGGCCAAAGCTCCAAGTGCCAGCAGGGCTGGAGGGGACAGGGGATGAAGGGGAATAATGATGTCAGGCCAAGGAGGATGAATTTCTGGCTGGTTGTTCTCAGAGACATTCCTGCTGCATTTTTCAGGAGAGGGTCAAGGCAGGAGCCTAGAGTTCCCAGAGGAGCTCTCATTATGTGCTGGCCACTGCTGGAGCACAGCACCCAGGGCCTGCAGCCAGCACCAATGCCTCTGTTATTCAATGGTTTGCTGTTGTTTCCAATGCCAAGTCCTTGTCCCTGGCACCACTCTTGTTGACTTCCAAAGGGTATGAGTTTGTCATTTCATTCACAATCCTTTTTTTTTTTTTCTGCTTGTACTTAAAATAACAGCAGATCAATATATTGGATTTATGTGGCTTATATGATCCTAAAAGTCACTGTCCATTTCTAAGGGAAGCTGTGGGCAGTGGAAGCCACAACCTGCCCCCCCTTCCTACCCAAGAAAACAGAGCAAATGAGTGGCAGTGCAGCTCAGGGATGGCAGACCTCAGGTGTGAATCAGGCCTGTTGAAAGAGCACCAGTGCACGTTTGTGGGAGTGATTTTGTTTGGAAGCAGTGAAGTGCCCTGCAGGGCAAAGTACCCAAACATGTTCATTATTCTCACCCTTGGTACAGAGGTTACTATCATGTTTCATGGAGGAGGATGATATAAGGAGGAGAGAAATGTGACCTGGCCTGGCAGGATCTCAGAGCAAATCATGTCTTAATTAACTCAAGTCTTTGCATCATGCGCTTATCCATAATTTAATGAAGCAACTTCTACTTTCTTAAAATTTCTTTTTCATTCTCAAGAACCCTTTTCACAGATCTATTTAAAAATGCACCTGCCAACCATATGCTTGAAAAAAGGCTCCAGCAGTGTAGACAGGAAATTCCAAATTCTTGCCACAAATTAAATGTTGCCTGGTAATTACCAAGGACAAGACGAGTGTGCTTCATGCAGCTATGGGATGATTAGCAAGTTTGGCAATAAATTTTGCTTCCTCAATCTGTCATTCCTCTCAATGTTCCAGCCCTCTGTTCCCTGCTAAGTTATAATCTCACTCCCCAAGTTGTAGTGATGAACAGTATCTGTATTATTAAAGTTTATAACAAGTGTGCCTCAGAGGAGCACGGCTGCAGTCACATCCCACACCTCTGCACCACTCCCAGCATCTCCCTCCTGCTCTGAAAATAAGAAAAACCCCCTAAAGCAGAATGATTCCCCCTGTTTTCAGTGCACTGGAAGCGGCCAGGTGAATGCTGTCTGTGTTTCCTTGCAGGCCTCCTTCCCAGGGAACCTGCACCTGGTGATGGTTCTGCGGCCCACGGGGTTTTTCCAGCGCACCTTCACCGACATCGGCTTTCGCTTCAGCCAGGAGGATTTCCTGCTCAAGTTACCGGTACAGAGCTGCCTGTGCACTGCTGGGTGTGCTCAGAGCTGGGACAGAGCTGTGCACTGCTGTGTGTGCTCAGAGCCTGGGACAGAGCTGTGCACTGCTGTGTGTGCTCAGAGCTGGGACAGAGCTGTGCACTGCTGTGTGTGCTCAGAGCTGGGACAGAGCTGTGTGTGCTCAGAGCTGGGACAGAGCTGTGCACTGCCGTGTGTGCTCAGAGCTGTGCACTGCCGTGTGTGCTCAGAGCTGTGCACTGCTGTGTGTGCTCAGAGCTGTGCACTGCTGTGTGTGCTCAGAGCCTGGACAGAGCTGTGCACTGCTGTGTGTGCTCAGAGCCTGGACAGAGCTGTGCACTGCTGTGTGTGCTCAGAGCCTGCTGGGCACAGCAGGACAGGGGACACTGCCCCACTCTGCTGGTGTCACATGCATCCTCTGCAGCACCTCCAGAGGAGGCTGGGGGAGCTCAGCCCCTCTGGAGCCAGGCTGGCAGAGCTGGGGAGGCCAGGTTGGGCAGGGCTTGGAGCAGCCTGGAACAGTGGAAGTGCCCCTGCCCATGGGAGTGGGGCTGGAAACTTCATGATCCTTCCAACCCAAAGCATTCTATGTGAAGAGTGGCCAGGAATTTGTTTCATGTCTGAAAAGTCATAAGACATGTCTAGTGGAGCTTTTGCTGTGGATTTTCCCATATTCATCTAAGTGTAGACTCCATACCAGCATCCTGCTGGTGGTTGTTCCTAAAATAGCAACTGAAATGAGTTTACATTCTCAACTCAGAATTTCCAGACTTGTAAACCACCTTGATTATAGGACATAATGAGAATAATTAAGAGAAGAAAAGTACATTTATAGAATCTAAGGTTGATGCTGTTACACAGAGAACAAATTAATGCTTTCCTTTAGGAAATAGCATGATTTTCACAGACTTGACATTTTTCACTCTAAAATGGCTGTTCTTTGCACAATTTTGAACATTCTTCACATATCCCACACACAAAAAATAAATCATGAGTACACATTTATGTGAAATTGGTAAGTTATAATTCATAACTTATTAAAATGTATGTGTTCTTTCCAGTTTACTGCTCGTGCCTTGCTTAAACCTGCACCACTTTGCATTCAGCCCTGTTCTGCAGCATCTCCCTGTGCCTTGCATTTAGGAAAGAAAGCACCTGGAGATGAGGGCTGGCTTACCATGGTCAGAAACCCAGATAAAAGCTGTGCTAAGCCCTAAGTGCAAGAAGAAGCCGTGCTCCAGGACAGGCTGGGAGCACACTGGGGTTTGGGGTGCATCCGTGGGCTGGGGGCGCTCCCAGCTGACACGGGCTGTGTGTGTGTGTGTGTGTGTGCAGGTGGTGATGCTGAGCTCGGTCAGTGACCTGCTGACGTACATCGAGGAGCAGCAGCTGACCCCCGAGCTCGGGGGCACGCTGGAGTACTGCCACAGCGAGTGGGTCATCTTCAGGACGGTGAGTGGGGCTGCCACGGCCAGCTGGGGCTCCTGGGGAAGGTTGGCACTCAGGCACCGAGCCCTGGGGGCTGAAAGGAGCCCCCAGAGCCACTGCACCTCCCAGATCACGCCTGCAAAGGAGACAAGGGGTGCTGGGCTTTGATGGCTTTGCAGGATGATTGGCTCCCTCAGGCTCCTATTGGAACTGCTCCCAAAAGATCTGTCTTTTTAAATCTTTATTGGAATTCCCTTAATGGGAGATACCAAATAGGCTTTTTTGTTAATAATGGTCGCTTAATATGATTAATATCAGAACTGTGTTTGGGAAGCGGGGTAGTGAGACTGCCGACTGCACACTGACCAAATGCAGAGAATTCACAAAATTTCCAGTCAGGTTTGTTTCTTCCCCTTTGCAAGCACTTTCATCCTGCCGGGAGTCAGGAGTTGTGCCTTGCTGAACGCTCAGTTTTCCCGGGGATGTTGGTCCCAGGTGAACGGCAGGTTGGATTCCCGGTGGGATGTTCTGCCTGGACATCCTACCCAGCTCTCTCAGAGCTGTTGGGCTCCCCTGGCACAGCCCAGCCCTGGCTCTGGAGGAGCTGCGGGCCGGTGGTGGCCGCCGGGCCGACGCAGTCCCCGTGTCCCTGCAGGCCATCGAGAGCTTTGCCCTGACCGTGAAGGAGATTGCCCAGATGCTGCAGTGCTTCGGCACGGAGCTGGCGGAGGCCGAGCTGCCCGAGGACATGCACTCCATCGAGCGCCTGCTGGCCCTGCGCACCGAGAGGTACTGCCAGCTCAAGGTACGGCCAGCAGGGCACCGTGCCACGGCCGCTGCGCTGCTGCCCCGGGGCTGCTGCCCGGTGTCCCTCTGTGTGGTTGGTGTCCACTCTGTGGTTGGTGTCCCCTGTGTGGCTGGTGTCCTTGTTTGGGTGGTATCCCCTGTGTGGGTGGTGTCCACTGTTTGGTTGGTGCCCCCTGCACGCTCCCTCCCTCCCGTGTGTGTGCTGTCAGATGAGGCAGAGCACAGCCTGGCTGTTCTGTGTGCTCACCTGTGCCATGCAGTGAGCAGGTCACCCTGCCTGCACCCTGCAGTCCTGAGCTGCCAGGTCACTCTGCCTGCACCCTGCAGTCCTGAGCTGCCAGCCCTCCTGCCTGCATCCTGCAGCTCTGAGCTGCCAGGTCACTCTGCCTGCACCCAGCAGTGTCTGAGCTGCCAGGTCACCCTGCCTGCACCCTGCAGCTCTGAGCTGCCAGGTCACCCTGCCTGCACCCTGCAGCTCTGAGCTGCCAGCCCTCCTGCCTGCACCCTGCAGCTCTGAGCTGCCTCCTCCCCTGGGATGGCACCTCTGGCTGCCAGCAGGCTGGGTATCCCCTGTGTGGGTGGTGTCCACTGTTTGGTTGGTGCCCCCTGCACGCTCCCTCCCTCCCGTGTGTGTGCTGTCAGATGAGGCAGAGCACAGCCTGGCTGTTCTGTGTGCTCACCTGTGCCATGCAGTGAGCAGGTCACCCTGCCTGCACCCTGCAGCTCTGAGCTGCCTCCTCCCGTGGAATGGCACCTCTGGCTGCCAGCAGGCTGTGCCAGCAGCTCTGTCACCTGCCTGTTCCTGTCCCCAGCTGGGAGCCCCTCTGCCTCACCCCCTTGGCTGCAGAAAGCTGCAGGCAGAGGTCATCAGCAGGTCTGGAGGGGTGGTTTGTCCCCGGGTCCCTCTGCCTGGTGGATCTTCCCTGGGGGCACTTAGGGGAGCTGTGCTGGAGAGCATCCAAGGTGAAGATTTCTGTGTGAGCACAGGGTGCAGAGCATCCACCATATGATCCCTGGCTTCATGGCAGCCTTCAGGTTTTGTCTTAAGCAACATTTGTTTCTTGAATATTTAAATTTATTTTTTCAACTCTGTGATTGTGATTAATATTATCATAGCAGTCAGGGGAAGGTTCAGTGCAGCCAGCTGCTGCTTCATCAGCCTGTTGTCTTCGGTGCTCCTGCACCTTCCAGGAGCAGCACAGGCCCCAAACCCTCCCTTCAGAAGCAATCACTGTGTTCATAGTTGTTCTGTGGGGCTGAAGAATGAGCTCCTCTGCTTTGTGACAGGTTTCATTTACCTAAGTCAAAGAATTGTATCTATTTTAATTTATAATCATTTGTCATTCGTGTGTCAGCGAGTTCCCAGAAAGCTGCCTCTAAGAAATACTGAAAATGTCATCCAAGTTGTGCTGTGTGTAGGCATAAATACATGTGTGCATGTTTAGAAAGAAACACTGTAGATACTGTCAATGGGCCTCCATCTCTTTGAAAATGAAGAGAGTAGTATGAAATAGCAGCTCCATCTCTTGCACCGTGGCTCAGTGAGTTCAGCTTTGTGCTCAGGATGTGGGCACAGTGCAGGGGCAATACCAGCCCCACGGTGTGGGTCAGCAGTGTCTAAACCAGTCAGCAGTGCCCACTTGTCTCTGTGCAGAAAGAAAACTCATCAGTGTTTTCCTTTGCGTGGAAAGCACAGCAGCACTCAGTACAAGCCATCTGTTGCTTTTAATTCCTCATCTATTAATTTCAGATATCAAAACCACTCGTTGGCTTTTGTCTGAAGTGAGGTCTGTTGGCTTTTTTCTCTTGTTCCTTCTAAGACCATGAAACACAAAAGCAGATGAGAAGCTGTGCACAGATTGTGGTGACAGCAAGACATGGGGTCCTTGTCTCTCTCATGACAACCCCAGGCTGGTACAGCTGATTCCTGAATTCAGATATTGAGTAAATCACAATAATTTAGGTACCTGTGATGCTGAGCAGAAACTGGCGTCAAGCAATATGAAAAAATGACAGAAATTAATTAAACAGAGTAACTTAACCCCGTTGATATACAGAACAGAAAAAGTCAAGTTGCCACCTGTCTGACAGCCAGGCCACTTTGCTTTATGGACAATGGATGGCTTTGAATCACAGGAGGAACGTGGGTCTCTGGCCTTCCAGCCGTGGAAAATCTTGCTTGAAGACATGAACCTGTGGGCAGGTGTCTCACACCAGGGGCAGTGCTGGCCTCCTGAACCATTCTGTGGCCTGGTGCATTCACGTGTGGCAGTTTCCACCCAGCCTGGTGCCCCGTCCGTGGCTCAGCCTCGTGCAGCCCCAGGGGTTAATTCCATGTCAAGGACTGAAACATCTGCTGGGAGTCCTTTGGTCTGTTGGGTACTGCTGCTTCTTTTCACACAAGGAAACTGAGGCAGGAGAAACACAAAATGCCTCATCCTTCCCTCACAACAAGTAACCTGAATGAGAAATGTTTTGTGTCATACAGGAAGATATCACAGCAGTCACAAAAGAGGGAAACTTGCTTTTGAGCAGTTTTGAAGAGCCAGAGCCAGGGGAATGCAGCCAGGAGCAGCAGCCAGAGAGGCCTGGGGACTGGGAGACGGTGAATCGGTGAGTGCCCTGTGTCCCTGAATTCCCTGGCTTTTCAGTGGAAACACCCAAATTATTTGGGTGTGGATGTGTTGTTTGGGTCACCTGTCAAAGACAAAGATGCCAGAATTTTGCTCCAGTCCTTCAGATTGCTGGGTGACTTCTCTCATGATTCTGGCTTGCTCTGCTCTTTATCCCCTGTTCTGATGGGGCTGTGGCTCATGCAGGGCCATTGTTTCTCCTGCAGTAGAGACCTGGCAGGGCTGTCCCATGCCAGGCTCCCAGGTTTCACCCAGATAAATGGAGATAGCAGCACCTGCTTCTCACAGATGCAGTGCTGATTTCATTAAATCTCTCTCTGGGATCATCTCAAGCCACATGTACATGTCTGTTGGCTTCTTCTGAGACCTTGGGTCCAGAAGACCTGTGTAAGTGATCTCCAGGTCTTGTCCATCTCTGCTTGTCCCATTTGCAAATTGTTCCAGTCTTGTCCTTTTTCTGTGCCCAAGGTTGCTGGGTCAGCTGCGAGAGATGGAGACTGCTTTTGATGGCTTCTGGGAAAAGCACCAGTTAAAAATGGAGCAATATTTGCAACTCTGGAAGTTTGAGCAAAGTTTTCAAGAGGTAGGATTGCATGTGCTTCCGTCGGCAGAAGGGAGAGTTGGAGATCTGTTGGAGAGAAGTTCTTATGCTTTTTATTTTGAGAGTGTTTAATTTATGCTGCTGTTCCTTGACTGTGGCAGGGCTGGCTAGCCTGGGGAGACGGCTGTGCTTCCTCCCTGAGAGCTAATTTAGGTATCACTGCCCTGCAGTCGCCTGGATTTTGCTGATGGAAGCATCTTTGAATTTAGAATTTAGTTCTTGGAACACTAGCTGTATTATTGGATATAGCAATCTTAGCTCAAGTGTGATTAATTTTGGGCTCAGACTGCTTTCCTGCCTGTGCTTTGTATCCTTTTTACAGCAGTCTTCTTGTTTGTGTCCAGGTCAAGAATGCCATTGAATTTTTAATGGGTCAGCAGGCAGAGCTGCCAGACACTGGGGACAGCATCCCCCAGGTGAAACAGAGGCTCAAGGACTTGGAGCACTTCGATGGCATGGCTCAGGTGAGATAACCTTGCACAGGAGCAGCACTCGTGAAACAAGAGCCACATTCTGTGTTGGTGGTGGGAGGTGTTTGCTGAAATCACCTGGTTCTGTAATTTGTTGGTAAGTGCTGCACAGGAGGATTGATTTCATGTCTCTGCTCTGAGCAGCAAGGCTGTGATCACTCTGAAAGCCAGAAACAGGGTATTTAATTATCAGAGTTAAAATGAATTGCTGAGCCACCGTGAAAATCCGGAACAGATAAATGTCTGAACGTGGGGGAGGCGTGGGATTTAACGAGCTGGAAGAAGAATTATTTATATTTTAAGTGCTTTAAACTATGCTAATAGGCAGAAACTTGTTACCAGGCGCACGGAGTTGCAAAAAAAGTTGTATCCTGACATGTCTGTGACTTGAACATAACATATGGGTGAAGAGTAAGAGATGTAGGGGAAAGAAGAGTGAAATGATTCACAGAGCCCAGCTAAGGATGTGACCTTTGCAAAGGAGTGTGCTGGGCACCTGGGCCAGGGTCAGCAGAGAAATCCTGAGGGCTCTGGGCACAGAAGAGAAGAGTTCTAGAGAAAGGTCTGAGGCTTGCTGCCATGTGGAAAAAATGTTTGTGGAGAGAGGGAGGAGGATCAAAAAGGCAGGCAGGGTGCAGCAGGAAAGCCATCCCAGTGGAGAGCCATCCCAGTGGAAAGCCATCCCACTTCCTCCCAGCCCTGGAGAAACCAGAACCATTACACTACTGAGGTGTGCAGGAAAGATCCTGTGTGCTTGGCATCAAGATAAAGCTCAAGTTTATCAAGACTCCAGTTGCCTTTGGTGCCTGGGGGCCTGCTGGGGCTGAGCTGGCCTCAGCTGCAGTTTGGTCAGGGTGTGGCTCCTGGAGGGGCAGTGATGCACTGCCAGCAGGCACTCACAGCCTTGCTGCTCTGTTGAAATGCTGTTTTCTTCTTCATCCTCTGCCTGGATAGAAAGGTTTTTCTCCCCAGATGGTGGGGGTACCGTTTTATGCTGTGTAAGCCCCCCGTGCTGGCTGCTCCTGCTGGCAGCCACCTCCACGAGCGCCCGAGCTCTGCCGAGGAGGGAGGGCACCATGCTGCATGGGGGCACGTTGGCACCGTTCCTGTGCGTGTGCAGCTCTCCCTTTGCCTGCAGGAGCTGATGGGCAAGGCTCAGGTGGTGATCCTGCACGGGCACCAGCTGGCAGCCAACCACCACTACGCCCTGAACCTGATCTGCCAGCAGTGCAACGAGCTGCGGCACCACTGCGACCTGCTGGCTGAGCACGGCAAGAGGAAGCAGATGCGCCTGCAGAAGACCTTGGAGCTCCACAGCCGCCTTCAGCAGGTAGAGCTGGGGGACACAGGGCTCTGAGGAGATGGCTGGTTAGCTTCTCCATGGGCCGAGCCTCTCTGCTTCGCTGGAAGCACCTGAAGTTTGCAGCTTTTCTTCAGGGTTAACGGCAGGGAGGTGTTCCTGGAGGAGTGGCACACCTCCCTTGGCTGGGAAGTCAGCACACAGGTATCTGCTGGTGCTGTGAGGGCAGCAGAAAGAGGTGGGCATCTCCACACAACACCAAGCTCAGCTGCTGCTCTTGGTGGTGCTTTCATGCTACGTCCATGTATTAATTGACTTGGGAGGTTTTCCTGCCCAGTGTGCCAGAGGTGATGCTCCCACATAAACTCCAGCCCTTTTTTCTGAGTCATTGATTAAGAATGAACATAGCTGAGTGTGAAATAAGGTGACAGATTGGTAGGTAGGCACAGCTGCTGTGTGCTAGCATGGAAGTGGAGTCATGTGGCTCCAACGCTCTTTGATATCTTAATCAGCATCAAATATTCATTTAGGGAAATTCACGCTAATTAGGCCAGAAGGCACACGGCTGCAATGTGCTTGAGGCCAATTAACAGAAACAGTGAATTTTGACCTGTTCCATTTCCCTGTTTTGGGGAACTGGGGAGTTCCTTTTTGCTCTCTGTGTGCGCCACTTCAGCGTTGTGCTGATCTGTGGGACACAGTCCTTGGCAGCCTGTCCTGCAGGACAGGGGTCTCTCCTGGGCTCCCTGCAGGCCTGGTTGGTGCCTGGGGTCTAGCTTGGGGCTGAGCTGGAGCACAGCATGGTCCTGCTCTCCATGTCTCCTGTCCTGTTCACAGCCCTGGAAATTCTCTGTTGCTCTTGGCTGGAGCATCCTGTCACCCCTGTGCACAGCTCAGTGTGTGAGTGCCAGTGAGCCCCAGCTCAGGTCTGCACTGAGCCTCAAGGAGCCTCCCACCCTCCCTGTAAGCTCCAAAGTGCTTTCCCAGCTGGAGAAGCAAACACCTGCTTATCCTGGGGTCACCTGTGCACTAGCACCTCCATGGCAGGCACAGCGCTGGTTTGAGCCGGGCACAGCACTGGTTTGAGCTGGGCACAGCACTGGTTTGAGCCGGGCACAGCGCTGGTTTGAGCCGGGCACAGCACTGGTTTGAGCTGGGCACAGCACTGGTTTGAGCCGGGCACAGCGCTGGTTTGAGCCGGGCACAGCACTGGTTTGAGCTGGGCACAGCACTGGTTTGAGCCGGGCACAGCGCTGGTTTGAGCCGGGCACAGCACTGGTTTGAGCTGGGCACAGCACTGGTTTAGTCAGGCACACCGCTGGTTTAGTCAGGCACACCGCTGGTTTGAGCTGGGCACACAGCTGGTTTGAGCCGGGCACAGTGCTGGTTTGAGCCAGGCACACAGCTGGTTTTAGCCAGGCACACAGCTGGTTTGAGCCGGGCACACAGCTGGTTTTAGCTGGGCACACTGGTGGTTTGAGCCGGGCACAGCTTGGCTGGGCCTGTTGAGGACTGCAGTCACCTTGCAGAAGAAACGTGGCTTTGTGTTTCCTAATGAAGGCACAGCAGGTGCCGAGCCCTTTGGGAGTGCTGCATCCAGGTCGGCAGCGATATTCTCACGGGACCCTCTGGCAGTGGAGGTGCCCGGGGGGTCTCACTGCCTGTGCTGCCCCCAGGCTCTGCAGTGCTGTGATGAAGGTGCCTACCTGCTCGCCAACCAGCAGATGGACAAGTGCCAGTCTAAAGAAGGCGCTCAGAAAGCACTCCAGGACATAGAAAGATTTCTTGAAAGCTCTTCGTCCTACTTAAACCACGATCCCCAAGCCCTACACTGCGATTTTGAGTCGATCTTAACGCCCGAGCTGAAGGTAAGTGAGGTCCCACGGGAGGAGAGCGGGGCTGGGGCTGTGCTGTCAGCTTGGCAGCCCTGTGCCCTGCTCAGGGAGGTGATCTGCTGTCCTGGGCTCTCTGCAGTGCCACATCCAGTCGGTGCAGGTGAAGCTGGAGAACGTGCGGGGCATGTTTGAGAGCAGGCAGTCGTGCTTCAGGAGGCTGCTGGACAAGCACGTGCGGCCCGTGCAGCTCGTGGCTCCTCGGCCAGAGAACCCCCCCCGAGCCAAGTCACCCTTGTTCTCTCCTAAGCACGGTAAAATACTCTGGATTTCCAGCTTTGAGGCAGGAACAGTAAGGCTTGGGATGGTTTTGAGAAGCTAAAACTTGCTGGCAGATAGAGTTACTGCAGAGTGTTAAATATATATATCAGGATTTACTAACTTCCCAGTGTTTGTGCTCCCACACCTGTGTGAAGGCTGAAGTTGGTTGCTTATTATTTATTTCCACTTGCCACTCAGTGAAAAAAGAGCTGTAAGCAGTGCACCCCTCCAGTTACTGGCATCCTGCTGGGCTGGAAGCTGGTGAGTTAATACTACAGGGGAAAAAGGGCAAGCTTTATCCATTTATTAGCTTGCCTGTTCTCTGTGGCTGTCTTGAGCTGGAACTGACATAAAGTTAGACTGATGTTTGCAAAGGAGCTTGGAGGAATGAGGAGCTCAAATCTCATGAACAGAAATGAGCTGGATGCTTAACTCCTTTTGATTCCTTCAGGGTGTCTTCCCTAAATCCCAATTGTGGAATAATTAAAGCCCATAAAGTTACAAATTCTCATTGAACTGAGGTCACTGAATGTTCTGCCTTAGTTTTGGTAATGGGATGTGGCACCATGTTAGCTTTAAATGATAACATTAAAACTTTCATCCTTGGCAGCCCTGAGTGTATCAGGCAGAATTAAAAGATTCCAAAGTAGCATCCATGTATTTTCAACCAGGGACTTGCTAAATTGTGTCAGAATATTAAATTCAGTGATCTGACTTCATGAAAGCAATTAAACACTTGTGTTTTAACACAAGGTTTTCGTGATGAATTAACAAATATTGGTTATGGTGAGTTGTAGCAGGTGTCATACAGCAGCAAAGCAACTTCAGTTCAGGGAATGAGAAGTGGAAATAGCCAAGTGGAGGGGTGGGAATGATGCTGGATGCAGTGAGGGAAATGAAGCTCCTCGAGATGCAGGCCAGTGCAGCAAATAAATCCCAGATTTCCTCTTCCCAGGCTGATGCCACCCTCTCCAAAGCACATTACCTTCTGAGCCCTTTCCTCAGTCAGTAACAGCTCTGAGTCCCAAACTAGAGCATTGCCATTTTACCTAGCATGCTTTTCCAGCTTTCCACAAAGAGGAAAGGGTCAAAGACAAATTATTGCCCTAAAGAGTAGGGTAGATGGGGGCCAGCTTTGTGGATGTTGTGAGATCTCCATCACCCAGCTGGAATTTTTCCATGCCTTTGTGGGACACACGTTTTTCTGGCAGAGGCACTCGCTCACCTGCAGAGCACAGGTGTGCTGCATTAATCCTCCTGAAGGCAGTGATCAAGTGTGGCAGAGACAAAAGGCTCCTCTTTGGGGAGATCATGGCAGGAGAGCTTTTTAACAGAGTCTGTTTGATAGCAGACATCAGACTGCTGCAGCCTGCTCTGCTTTGACATGGATGGGTTTTATGGTGGGGCTCGAAGCCAAACCAGCTCTGAGCACATCATTTTGTCCTCTGTTCCTTTCTTCCTTATGTTTCTGTGCCCCATTCCCCCCTTCTGTCTCTGTCTGAGGACAGATGCTTCCTCTTTTATCTTTGCCCTGGATTTGAAGCCTGTCTGAGAAATGTGGTTCTAATGTTTAAACCATTTTTTAGGGAGGGTGGGGAAGAGTAAATCTATCCCACCCTGAGCCCTGAGGTGTAGTGGGATGGGCAGAAGTGGCACTGCAGGCTGTGGCAGAGTCCCTCTAGCAAGAGAAGCTGGTGCCCATGTCCCATCCAGCTCCAAAGCCTCCCAGGGCAGTCTCTGAGCAGGGCCACTGGCAATCCTCACCTCTTTTGGGTGCTCCCAGGTGTGGGGGGCCCCAGCCGTGCCCACCTTGGGGGTGTGTGGCTCCTGCAGGGCAGGCTGTGACAGCTCTGCAGAGGGGCTCTGCACACCAGTGTGCCCCCAGAGCCCCCCGTGCCTCCTCTGGCTCTCTCCACGTTTCTTACAGAGTGTTTGAATGATGCCATACAGCTCCCTGGAGGCACTGGTGCTTTATTTTTGAGCTCCCACTTTTCCTCTGTGGCTCAATTGCAGCTTGTAATTATTTACTGACAATATCAATAAATTTGTGCAAGATGGAGAAAGTTTATTACAGCTGAGCATCTTGCCCTATGTTTGTAAAAGGACTTTAAAACAGTGTCCTAGCAGGGGGTGTTCTTTTTTGTAGTTTGTTTGCTTTTATTGTTTTTGTTGTTATCATATGCTCAGGCTTCAGAGACTTTGTTAGGTTTTGATTACTGTGTTCCCTTGGTGAACATCTTGTTTTTTCTAAATATTTGTACTTTATGGCCTTTATGACTGTGGGATGTGCTGTGTGGAATCAGTATTGTTTGGGATAAATACCCTTTATTTTGTCAGTTTGCTATTAGTGCTAGCTAACTAATTATTTATTCTTAAAATGTATTCCATTTTTCTTCCTGACATATTAGTTTCTGTCTCTGAAGAATCCCCTTCACTGTGGATGTACATCATGTAATTCTGCTTTTTTCCTATCCAAGGTGTAGATTTTAATTCCAGTTTGAAATTTTCGTTTGATCTCTCTCTCCCTGGGAAGAAAACTTCAAGAAAAACACCAAGTTCTCGCAAGGTAAAAATGATTCATGGAATCTGAGTTAGTTTTATAGAGGGAAAAACTGAAACTCCTCTGAAGATTGAGTGTACTTTGGATTTGGAGATGCCCTCTTTATTTTCTTTTTCTTTTACCTTTTAAAAGCTCAAGCAAAAAAATTTAGTTGGATTAGTCCAACACCTGAGCTCTGCCTTGACTGCTTTTACCATATCCAGGTCCCTGTGTGCTGTTCCCTGAAGTTATTTCTTACACAGCAGAGGTGTGCATTAGGAAATATCCCCATGCCCAGGTATTTCCCCTGTGCAAACTCTTCACTGATGAGTTATGTTACCATATTTTCAGATTTACCTAGCAGAGTCATTTCTGGGATTTTTGGCCACCCATTACATGTTATTCCCTTCTGAGGTTTACAGCCCAAGGCTTTCATAAGGAAGCACCTTTCATGCTTCCCCAGGGCTGCCCAGGGCTGGGCTCCTGCTGCCCTGCAGGCTCTGCAGCCTGCCCAGTGATCCCATCTCCTTCCAGATCGAGGTCATGCACGACTACCAGGAGAAGAGGAATTCCTTGCAGTACTTCATTTCAGACAGTGAGGACAGCCTGGACGTGCTGAAAGGGTAAGCACTCAGCCCTGCACACCCCCTAGAAGGGGGTTTGTTTCTGGCCAGCCCTTGCCCCATGCCTGTGTCCTGACCCAGGTGTCATCTCCTGTGCTCTCACCTCGTGGTTATTCATGAGGTCACACAATGTTCTGGGCTCCTTGAGCTGCACTGACCACCTGTGGGGCTTTTCATAGGCACTAAATAATACACTTCTGTTGTGTTTCCATTTTAGCCATGTCATAAATGAGCTTATAGAAACAGAGAGAGTGTATGTGGAGGAGCTCTTCACTGTCCTGACGGTGAGTGACTTCTGCAGGTCCTCGTTCCTGTGCCCTGGTGATTGCACAAAGGGCACCTGCCAGCCCCTCAGACAGCCCAGATGTGCCAGGGCAGACTGTCACATCCCAGTCTAGTCATAAATGCCCAGGTTTGCTCCTCAGGTTTTCTTTGTTGGAGGCATCTGCAGGAACAGTTGGTGTCAGGATGAGCTTTTCATCCGCAGTGAAGGAGAATCCTTCTGTTTGTACACAAAAGCATGGTAATTAGCCTTAGCAGTGCCTGTAAAATACACAAAAAGCTGTTTCTCTTGACTGTTCCCTAATTTCCTTTACCTTTAGGAGACAAAAGGAAGCAGCTTGTGTTTTATCCTTGGGAGAATCCTGTCTCAATGCTGTGAAATTGTGACTGTATGAAGCACACTGCTTTAGAAAGCAGATCATGATTTCTCATACTGTCATTTTAGACATTACTGCTTTATTCCAAAATAACTCTTGCTGATGGCCCAAACAAGCTGGGTGTTAAATAGCTCCCCCCCCAGCATTTCTCCCAGCCAGGAGCAAGCAGGATGTAAATCTGTTCCTCTGCAGGCAGTGGCTGCAGTGCTTGCCCTGCACTGGTTGGGTTTTTGCTAAAGCACACTCTGTGATGAAGCAGTTGGTAGGTACTGAGATTTATTGCTGTGCACATCGAGTCTGGATAGAGAAAAATGGACAGATAGACTTCAGTTTTCTGAAAATAGTATTCCCTTTAAAGAGGGAAGCCTGCTTGCTGGCCTTAAATAAAATGACTAATTTTCCAGATACTTATCATCTATTGCATCCTTAATCAACTACAGAATGCCTGCTGAGTATGAGGAATATTGATTCCAAGCACAGTGAGTGAGAGATTAGTCTGGAAGGCCAGAGGAGATGTGCTGCACATGTTGAACACGTTTGTGCTGCCCATGGTAAAGGGCCTCAGTCCCGTGCAGCCCTTGGTGAGCAGCAGGGCCAGCCTGAGCTGTGCCTTTTGCCATTCCTGGGGCCTCTGTGCACTCTGCTGTGAGCCCTGCACTGCAGTGAGCACATTTGCCATGCCAGGTGCCCTGATGGGCTGTTCCTTGGGGAGCTGCACACTATTCCTGGTTCCACCCAGCACTTTGTGTTTCAGTGTGGGCCCTTCCAGCTCCTCCCCAGTTTGGGGGCCTGTGATGTCAGGGGCAGTGGGGGCACAGAGCCCCGAGTTCCTGGAGCACTGAGGAGAGCAGCACCCCCTGAGCAGGAGCACAGAGCCCGTGGGTGTTTGATCTGATCTCCTGTCTCTGGTCTGCAGGGCTCTGCTGAGGCTGTGGAGCTGCACACACACACACACACACACCCTGCCCCTCTGTGCCCCTCTGTGCCCCCTGTTCTCCCCACACACACACACACCCTCCTGTGGCTCCTCTCCTGCGGCTCCTCTCCTGCAGCCAGGCTGATTTGCCTTTGGAGAACTGGGAGCATCTCTGCAGTGCTGCTGGCCCCACGGGAGCTGTCCCACACCTTCCCTTCTGGACCACAACCCCCTGTGCCCAGCGACTGAAGACAGGGCTTTAGAGGCCAAAAACAGGGAATAAAAGGGATATTGCACTTAGAAACAGAGAGATCATGTTGGAAGTCTGTTCATGCCCCCTTTTCACCTGCCTGTGAGGAGGTGGCAGCTGAGAGTGGCCCTTTTTCACCTGGCAGGGCTACAGAGCTGAGATGGATAACCCTGCCATGCTGATCCTGCTGCCCCCCGTGCTGAGGAACAGGAAGGACGTTCTCTTTGGGAACATGCCCGAGATCTACGACTTCCACAACAAGTATGGAATGCTCTCTTCCCCTTCCACAGGCTGCTCCCTGGAGTGCTGAACAGCCCAGCCTCACCCTGCTCACTGCTGTGCTCTTGTCCCTTGTGCCATCTCTTGCAGAATCTTCCTGCACAGTCTGGAGAGCTGCCTGGGAGCACCCGAGCGAGTGGGCTGCTGTTTCCTGGACAGGGTGGGTGAATCCTTGTCACCTATAAAGCACACCCCAAGGCCGGGGTTTCCCTGCCTTGTCACACTCTGCAGTTCCTCCTGGCTGGGTGAGAGGCTGCTGGCCTCAGGAGCAGCGGTGGCTGTGTGGCCAGCAGAGGTGGCAGGGCAGCCACAGCTGTGAGCCCTGCTGCGCTTCCTGCACCCAGCTGCCACTTGCACACACGGAAGCTGGCAGCAGAGGTGGAAGCACACATCTGGCTGCTGGCCTGAGCTGCTGCCTGGCAGGACTGGGGGTGACCTGGCCCTTGGCTTGCCTTGCAGCGGGAGGATTTCCAGATGTATGAGAAGTACTGCCAGAACAAGCCCCGCTCTGAGTCCCTCTGGAGGCAGTGCTCCGAGAGCTCCTTCTTCCAGGTGAGCTGCTGCTTGCACCCCTGGCACACTCCCCTGTCCTGACAGCCTCCTCAGAGCCCACAGCTCTGCGGTTTGTTTAGCATGGTCTGCAGAATGCTCACAAACAGAGATGTTGGCGTTTCTCACACCCCAGGAGTACAGATGCACTCACTGTTAATTTGCATGTTATTATAATATTTCTCTAGTAGTGGGTACCATTCAGCCCTTGGACATGAAACCTTTGAAGTCATCAAACCCCACGGCTGTGCTGTTGGAATATCTACTGACAGATGGTGCAAAACTTTCTTGGTGTGACTTCTGTGTTCCAGGAATGCCAAAGGAAGTTGGAGCACAAACTGGGGCTGGATTCCTATCTGCTCAAACCAGTGCAGCGCCTGACAAAGTACCAGTTACTTCTGAAGGTATTTCATCTTCTGCTTCCAAAGGCCACCAGCAGATAGATTAGATTTGGTTTGTTTTTCAATTAGAGGTTACCTGTAGATCAGCACCAAGCTTTGGATGACATATTGCCCATCTTGGCCTCTCCTGAAGTGACTTCCAGTGAAGATGAATGTTCACATACCTGAAAAAGGAACAGGTGCTTGTGACAGGCCATGCTTAAGGAGAGAAAGACTGTTTGAGTCTGCTCAGAGATGCAGAATTACAGAAGCACTTGTAAGAAAACCGAGCTAGAGATGATCATGAGACTCTGATAAATGAAATAAATTGTTGCATCTCTTCTCCTCAGGTGTTGGTAGCACCTGTAATCTTTAGTGCATTTATTCTTGTGTCCCCACCTGAGGCAGGGCAGTGCAGTTATTCTCCCTTTGTAAGGCAGGAGTAACACTTGGGTGGTGGCTTCTGAACCTCCTCCCAGCCTCTGAATGAGTATACATGCAGCTGTAGGGCACAGGAGATCTGAAATGGAACTAATTTTATCTCAGTGGTAAAATTCTGTCTTCTATTTGCTACCTGAAAGCTGTGGATTTTATAAATTCTGTTCCTTGTGCCTGCCAGTCTGAAGACAGTTATCTGCTGCAAGCTCCTTTGAGGGCATGTTGGCACTAATGAAAAACCCCAGCCTTATTGCCATGTCTTAGCAAGCAGCAAAACACAGCACAAAGAGTCAGGAGAATGTGGTGCTGCTCTGTGCTGACACCCTCCTTAAGGAAGCACATTCAAAACAGGCCATCCCTCACTGGCCTGTCCCACAGCTCATACTCACTGTGCTCCAGAGGGAGCCTTTTTCCAGGGACATGAATAAAGAAACTCAGTGTAGGTCACTCTTGGGCACTGGAAACTTTGGGCAAGGTGGAAAAATCTGCTTTGTTCAAGTGCAAACACGTGCTTATTTCTATTTTCAGGAGCTGCTAAAGTACAGCACGAGCTGTGATGGAGTTCAGGAACTTCAGGAAGCTCTGGTTGCAATGTTGGATTTGCTGAAGTCAGTCAACGACTCCATGCATCAGATTTCAATCACAGGATATGATGTGAGCAGCTGTGGGCAGCCCTTGCACAAGGCTGGTGATGCCCTGGTGTGCAGGATGTGAGAGCTGGGAGCTGCCAGGACAGAGCTTGTGCAGGGCTGGATCAGGGACCCCAGAGGTGACAGTCTTCCCTCTGATCTCGGCTTGGGATCCTGAGCTGCACGGTGCCAGCCTTGCCACCTTGTGGTTTTCTGGAGCATTTCTCTGTGTGCCCCTCTGTGCTCTGATAACTCTCGGGGCTGTTTCTGTGGCATTTCCCATTCAGCATTCAGCAAACCACTCTCTGAGGCTGAGTCTGAGCCTGCCCCACTGCAGTGGTGGTATTTCCTAGGCTTCCAGGGAAGCTGCTGCTGCCAGGCCTGGCCTCCTGGAGACTTCCATCTTCTGATGCCTCAGTTCAGGCTCAGAGCTCACCTCCCTGTCCCACTAAAGTAGCCAGCGCCCTTGACATGCTGTTCCATGGGAGCTGCATGGTTTTCTGTTCCTTCTAGTTCTTCCTGAGTTTCTAGAGCAGCTGCAGCCCTGCCTGAGTCCTGTGCCCCCCTGGCACCAGGTCATCCCTGCCAGGGAGCCTCTGGTCCTTCCAGGAAGAACTATTCTTAGAGGGACGTGCCTTGGAGCAGAGCTGGCCCCGTGTGCTGTCATTGTTTGGAGAGCCCTCTCTCATTTTAATTCACCTCTTTGTCCTTCTTTGTTGTTTGTCACGCTCTCCCCAGGGTGACCTGAGCGAACTGGGGAAAGTATTGATGCAGGGATCTTTCAGTGTTTGGGCAGGACACCGAAAAGGGCCCACAAAAATGAAGGATCTGGCCAGGTTCAAGCCCATGCAGAGGCACCTGTTTCTGTATGAGAAAGCCTTGGTCTTCTGCAAGAAGAGAGAGGAGCACGGAGATGGATATGACAAAACCTCATCTTACAGCTTTAAGCACTTTCTGAAAGTAAGGGGGCTTTATTTTTGTTTATTTTATTTACATTTATTTTGTTTATTTTGAACCTTAGAGTGTTTCACACAGCCACGTGCATTGCAGAGCAGTGATTCTGCAGAGCCAGGGGGTTTTTCTCTGACGTGGGGTTTGTTTTCTGCTGCTGAGGGCCGTGCCACATCCATGGAGGGCTGGTGGCTGGATGAGCTCTGAGGAGCCCAGGGCTGGGGCAGCAGCTGGGAGAGCCCCTGGCCTCGGGGTCAGGCTGTGCTGTGCCAGGGGTACAGGTAAATTTCCTTTACCTTTAGGAGACAAAAGGAAGCAGCTTGTGTTTTATCCTTGGGAGAATCCTGTCTCAATGCTGTGAAATTGTGACTGTATGAAGCACACTGCTTTAGAAAGCAGATCATGATTTCTCATACTGTCATTTTAGACATTACTGCTTTATTCCAAAATAACTCTTGCTGATGGCCCAAACCAGCTGGGTGTTAAATAGCTCCCCCAGCATTTCTCCCAGCCCTGGTGTGCCTGGCCCTGCCCCAGCCCGTGCTCAGGTTTGGAGGCACTTTTGGTCTTCCCCAGCCCACCTGGGAGAGAGGGGCTCCTCCTGCCCCTGGGCAGCTCTGCCTGCCTGCTCCTGAGCCCTGTTTTCCACCCTGCAGGAGGATGCAGGGTTAACTCTTCTTCCTCCCCGTTCCCCTCTCCTGTGGCAGGCTCCAGCTGCAGCTGGAATGACAATTATCAGATGGCAAGGGTGTAAACAGCTATAAATGCTAACTATTATCAATAAAATCCCAAAGTGCTGCTCTGAGAGCACTGGCACGCTGTGTGTGATGAGCAGGTCTAACAGCAGAACTGTTTTTTCTCAGGGCTCTGCCTTGTTTTTGTTGAGAAGTGAGAGCCCACAGGGGTCTGTGTGAGACTGGAGAAGGCTGAGGAGCTGGGGGCACAGCAGGTCCTGCTGTGGTGCCAGGGGTCTGGGCAGGCATTGCCAGGAGCAGTGAGCAGCCCTGGGGCACGTCACAGGTGATGGCACAGAGCAAGTCTCTGGCTATATGCTTTGGTACCCAGTGTTTTCCCCACACAGCACCATTTTCTTTCTGGAGAGCTTGTTTCCCCTGCAGGGCTCGTTTTAGCACACATGCTTTTGGGAGGACTGAAGAGTGGCAGGGGAAATGCAGCTCAGAGGAGAGGATGCTGCACTCAGGAGCCTAGGCAGCTGTCCACAGCTTCCCTGTGCCCCCAGAGGACTGTCCACAGCTCTCCTCTGGCTCCAGAGGACTGTCCACAGCTCTCCTCTGCCCCCACAGGACTGTCCACAGCTCTCCTCTCTCTCCAGAGGACTGTCCACAGCTCTCCTCTCTCTCCACAGGACTGTCCACAGCTCTCCTCTGCCTGCAGAGGACTGTCCACAGCTCCTTGTTTGTGCTGACACGCAGAGGTTGGAGTTAGAGGATCCATGGAGGTGGCAGGGTCACACCTGCACACTTGTGTTTTGAGAATTGCTGTACTGAGGGCAAAATCCTGTTTCTGGAGCTTGACATTGATTTGATTTCACAGACAATGATGTTGGAAAAGACCTCTAAGTTCATCGAGTCCAGCTGCTAAACCAGCACTGCCAAATCCACCACTAAACCTTGTCCCTAAGCACCAGGAAATGAGATTTCTTTGCAGCAATGTTTTTTGGGGATTCGGGGTTGAAGTGAGCTGTTGGGTAGATGCTGTGTAACAGATCACCCACAGAGCAAACCAGAGAAACCCTGAGGATAATCCTGCATCCTGTGTGAAGTGAGCAGAGGCCAGCAGCTCTTCAGCTGGGCTCAGTGAGCCAGGGGTGCAGCTTCCTGCAGTGCCAGGTGAATCTGCAGATGAGCACCAGCCCAGAGCTTGCACTGGCCCAGCTTGGTCTGCACTGCAGTAAATCCTGGGCAGGGGGAGGAAATGGAATTTAAAATCCTCTAACCTGGATGAACAGACCTTAAATCTGTCTCTTCCTGGCACTTTTCTTTGCATCATCATAGTAGATCATCCAAAATTTCTCATGTCTTGATGCCTGGGCAGTTTTGTAGGAGCCTCTGTAAATTGCCAGGGTAAACAAGGTGCACAGAACTGGGAATTGCAGTGACTGGATGAGGTGCTCTCCAGGCTGCCCTTCCAGCAGCTTTTATAAATTTTAAGTTTCTATAAAATCAAAATGGAGCCTCATCCAGCTTTCTAAAGGGGAAAAGACCTCAAGCTGTGCCAGGGTGTTCAGCTTGGATGTGAGGAGTGGGCAGGACTGGCACCCACTCCCATCCCTGCAGGGATTTAAAGCCCTGTGGATGTGGCACCTGGGGACAGGGGTCGTGGTGGCCTTGGCACTGCTGGGTTAGTGGACTCGATGGCCTCAGGGGTCTTGTGCAGCCTAAATGTTTCTGTGATGTCAGGAGCAGCCTGGTTCCTGCTCCCTGGAGTGTTCCTGTCACTGGAAAGGGGCACCAACACATGAAACAGCTGGAACAGAACATTGTCCGTGGCACCTCTGCTGGAAATCATCCAAGTCCTTCAGACCAAGGCACCACATGTTGTCAGGGAGGATCAGCAGTGCTGAACAGATGTTATTTCTAAGGTTTTGTTTGTGTTTACAGTGGATTTGTCTCATCCAGTCTGCGTGAATAATTTATGATAGATGATACCTCTGTTATTACATCTGCTCCAAAACATGCACGTGGGACACTTGAGCTATTCTTGGCCATCCTTTAATCAGTGAATAATTGCCAGCACACCCTGCTTCAGGGGAGGGGATGGTTCATGTGGTTTCAGGTATTACAGCAGTTTTCAGCTCAGGAGGGAGGTCAGAGGTCTCCTGTTGCTGAAGAGTTTTGTGTCTCTAGTCGTGGTTTGAGCTTGGCTCAGGTGGGTCCTGAAGGATTTGGGCCTTGGGTGCTTCATCCCAGCTATCACAGGGGGCTGGGGATAATGAGTAAAGCAGGATGCAGCTGCAAGCCTCTCCTGGAAGCCAGGCTTGGGGCAACCCAAAAATTACCCTGCTTTTGGAAAGAAATAATCTGTGTGGATAAATAATGTGTCACGTATTTATAAATCTAAATATGCCAAATCTGGGGAATTCTGTGCTGAAAGAGGCAGCTGAGGTGATGCTTCAGTTGGTTCCACTGGTTCCCAAATGAAAAGTTCCCAAAGGTCCATTGATTTGTTTTGGACAGCTTATCCAAAATGCAGCTTTTGGAAAGCCAGGAGGAACGAGACAGATAATGACTTTGAGTTGCTGCGTAAATTGAAATTGATGAAACATGTTAAATTCAGTGCAAACAGCTCTAAGCTGCTGTCACAGCCTGCGTTCCTGGGGAAGAGGGAGCCTTGGACCGTGTTTAATTGTTTGTTTGTTTGGATTTGCAGATGAACGCAGTGGGGATAACCGAGAATGTGAAGGGAGACCATCGGAAATTTGAGATCTGGTACAGCGGGAGAGAGGAGGTCTACGTGGTGCAGGTTTGTGCCCTCAGGCTCTGGATATCTGCTCAGCCTCAGAGCTGTGGGAAAAAAATGTCTCCTTGATCTTCGTGCTGGTACTGATAGCTCTGCAGGTGCCACTGTGCCTTGCCTGGATGTAGTGGGAATCATCAATTTCAAAAGATCAAGACTGTTCAAAATTTAGTAGTAGCTTTGGGGAATAAAGGGGATTTCAGATAATTACAGCACAGAAAAGGAAGATTTTATTCCTACATTATAATGGATGACTCTTAATTCAAAATTCAGACAATTTTCTCTTCTTCCAGGCCCAAACAGTAGATCTGAAGATGGCGTGGTTGAATGAAATAAGAAAAATTTTGTTCAAGCAGCAAGAGCTTATAAAAGGTACATTGGATCAATTTCTCTGTGGCTTTCACTCTGCAGCAGGAGCTTTGCTATTGGCTCATTGCTGATGTTCAAGTCCACAAATTCTTACTGGAGAATCAATTTTTAGAAGCCTGGTAGCAAAATGCTGGAGTGAGGCCTTACATTGCAGGGAAATAACGTACCTTGGAGCAGTAAAACCTGGGTGCTGATGTGAAAATGAATCACACAAGTACATTTTGTTGTTGTCGTTACCTTGGGCATTATTTCACATTTGTTGTCATAGGTTTAATTCAACAAGATCCAAACCAGATGCCTAATTTGAAGCATCTCGTGGTCCTCAGGAGCATGCTCAGTGCTGGATTTGTGCTAACATGCCACCTTAATCATAATTAAGTCTGTGCTTTGCAAGAGCCCATGGGTCTGCTTTTCTCTGAACAGAAGCCAGTAGGGTTGTGCAAAAGGTCTGATTTTTCAAGTAATGCTTCAAGTGTGACGGTTGCTGGTGCAGAACGGGATGTTAAGCTGTGTTTGCCCTGCAGCAGGGGAGAAGCAGCAGCCTGGCTCGTGCTCGGAGCAGCTCCCGCTCTCCTCCCAGCTGGGGGACAGGTGAGTGCCAGCCGGGCTGGGCTGGGTGCCTGCCACAGTCACTTTTCCTGAAAAAAAATCCCTTTGCCCAGGATTTTTCTCCTGGGAAGCTGAGAAGCCTCTGAGAAAAAGGAAAACAATATTTTCTCATTTGCTTCTCCTGTGTTTTGCTGCTTTGGAATGGGGTTTGGAGATTGTTTACCCACAGGTGATTGTTTCATTGGTTTCATGTGAATTGTTTTGACTCTGGAGGGCTCTGGAGAGAGTCACAAGTTTTTATTAGTATCTTTTTAACCTTCTCTAAGTATCCTTTCTGTATTCTTTAGTACAGTATAGTTTAGTATTCTTTAATATAATATAGATCGTAAAACAATAAATTAGCCTTCTGAGTCTGGAGTCAGATTCATCATTCCTTCCTGCCCCGAGGGCACCCCACAAATACAGTAAGTGCCCTCCCATCAGGGGGCACCCCGTGCTGCTGCTGGCTCTGTGCTGGCCCTGTCCCTGTGTCTGGGCAGGGGACAGCAGGGCTGTGCTGCTGCTCACCCCTGGGGACTGCAGGGACACCCTTGGGGCTGGCAGCTCAGCCTGAGCTGCAGCCTCCCTGCAGATGGAGCAGGGCAAAGACAGGGCTGATTCAGGGCAGCCACTGCAGCAGCTTCCCTTCCCTTACAAAAAGATTGAGGACCGGGCACTAAGTCCTTCATCTCCCCACAAGCACCAGTATTGCTGCTGGCCCTGTTTGACAGAACCTCGGTGGTGAAGGAAAGCTGAGACTGCCTCTGTTGTTTTGCACCCCTCAGGAAGCAGCAGAGAGCCTCCATCAGCTCGGAAGAGAACGACTCGGAGCGCACCAGCCCGGTGCTGCTGGACAGCGGGCCGGTGTCCCCCCAGAGCAAACCCCACAGAAGTAGGGCCCCTTCCCTCCCCTGGGGGCTCTCGGGGGCTGCTGGCCCCGCCTGAGCCCCGCGCTGTCCCGCAGGCTGGCCGGGAATGTCGCAGTCCCTGGAGATCTGCGAGGGGCTGGAGGAGTGGGCAGGGCAGCAGTGCCTCTCCAACTGCTCGGACACCGAGGAGGAGGATGGCAGCCAGCTGGTAGGTGGCCGTGGCACCCCCGGGGCTCTCACCCAGCCTCTGTCGTGGCCGTGTGGCTCAGAATTTCCATACCTCACTCTGGGGAACGAGAAGGTCTCTCAGGCACAGCTTGTTGAAATAGTTCTAACTCAGGTAGCTGGTAGGGCTGTGCCACATTCAGGCAGCAGTCACAAACCACAGCTGCACAATACAAAAGGCAGCTAAATAATGCAAGTTTTTCTCTCTGCCACAGTCTCCAGGAAAATACAAAGCCCTTGCAGACTGCAAGAGGAGGGGATCAGAGGATCTGCTGGTGAAAAACGGGGATGAAATCCAGCTCTTGCATGAAGATGGTGAGGGACAGTGGTAGGTATTTTGGGATTACCTTGCCTTATCTCTCAGAGCCTGCAGGGCAGTCCCTTGAAAGGTCACTTGCCTGGTGACACACTCATTGCAGCTCCTGGCTGAGCTTTAGACCATTCCAGAAAGCTGCAGAATTCATTCTCTTGCCAAGACCAGATGCCACCCACACTGGCACAGCCTGGGGAAACGAGTCAGGACTTCCCTGGCCATGGGTCTCTGCCTGAGCTGGGTGTTCCCAGCACCTTCACAGCCCCTCTTGCCATGCTGTCCCCACTTCCGATGGTGCTTCCCTCTGTCCATCCCAGCTCAGCTCCAGGCTTTGTTCCTCTGGGAATTTAACAGCCACAGTGAGTAACTGCAAGGTGTTTTCCTCCCTCAGACAGCTGCAGGATGTTCCCTACCCTGGGGGATGGCTCCACACTCTTTCTGTTGTGTGTAAAGCTGTCAAGGCTCACAGGGAACACCTCACAGCTGCCTCTCTCCTGGGGCTGGAGCATCCCCTGGGAACACCCCTGGGCCTGCTGGACCACTGGTGTCCTTGTCTGGGGGCAGCATGCCCCTCGTGAGACTCAGCACTTGGCTGAGGTTTTGGCTCTTCCCTTTCTGGAGGGTTCTGAGCAGCTCTCAGCCAGCCCAGGCTCTCAGCAGAGGGAGCCCAGTGTGCCACAGCCTTGTTTGGGGTGTGGGAAGGGTGATGTTGGCAGGAACCTGGGCCAGACCGGGGCAGGCACCAGCCTGTGAATGCACAGATGTCAATGCAGGATTCCTGGCTGACAGCTGCAGCCCTTCAAGGGAAATCAGAACAGGATAAAATGGAATATTTCAATTGCAAGGGATCTGCAAGGATCATCTAGTCCCACTGCATTTTGAAAACTTCAGTTTGCTGTTAGCAAAAGCAGATGCAAGGCATCTCAGGTTTGCTGAAAGTTCACCACTCCTGGGGGCTTCAGCCAGTGCCAGTCAGAGATTTCTCACACCAAGCTTTTGTTAGCAAAACTGCACTGCGTGATGAGACAGAGGGTTGTCACTTCTGAGCATGAATATTTCCAGCTGCCTAAATCTTGGCTTGAATTTGCTTACAGTACCCTGACTAAAATCATCCTACCAGTCTAAATGGCAGAGGAGTGAGAAAAATAATTGTCCTTAACTCCTTCAGTAGGCAGTTTTCCTGAGCTGGCATCTCTGGAGGTCTCGGGCAGGATGACTTGAGAGGGAGTCCTTTCTTCTGCATTGCCTACAGAGGTGTAGGCTTTTTAATTAGGCTCCTGAATTTAGGTGGGAAGAACACTTTAAACACATGGCCAGGTCCTGTTAAAACGATTCCCTGGCTGGAGCAAACTGCTGCTTGCCCCCACCAAAGTGCCCTGGGGTGGCTGGCTTCTGTTCCTAACGCTGTTGTCATTCAAAGGTTGGTGAAAAACCTAAACAGAAGAAAAGAAGGCTGGATTCCTGTGCACAGTCTGCAGATTGTAGTCGGTGACTGCAGGTTTCGGAATGCCAAAGTTGCAGGTATTTGATAGCACGCCTAGCAGAAATATTTCATATCTCAAATCAGGTCTTTTAAGCCATTTGCTTTACACTTGATGTACTAAATCTGGCTGCTTATGCCTCTGCTGGAAAATAGGAAAGCAAGCAGCTATTCCAAAAAGCCTGCAAAAGTAGTGAATTAAGCTTTTTTCTTTGTTTAACACGTTAAGATGTTTCTGAGACTTTAGGCACTAGTAAATTAAAACCAAGCATTTAAAAACGTAGATTTCATTGCACGAGCACTGGGTAGAAGACCGGGGAGAAGAGATGGAGTCTGACCAGGCATTCCCAGGACTTTTGCCTCCTCCCTGCTGTAGCTCACTCCCCGTGTGAGCAGCAGGTACCTAAGCAAACTCCTCCTGCTGCAAAGACATCGTGGCCTGACCCCAGCACTCCAAAGGCAATACTTCCTCCCTGCTGCCTCACTCCTGCCCTCACTGCTGCCTGCTGGTTAATCCATCCTTAGATGAAGTTTATTACAAACAGGTTGCCAGGTTTCGGCCAAAGGCTTGGAGTCTCCAAACCCAGAGTTCTCATTTTCTAGCTGTAACTGTACATAGAAATAGACAGGGAAGCATAAGAGATGACACAAGAAAATGCCTTAAGAGCAGCCTGCTGCCCTTGCCATGTCCACAGTGTCACTGCTCCATGTGTTGCCTCATCACCACGCTGTCCTCTGCAAGTGGGAGAGCAGGGCTGGAGATGGAACAGCTCAGGAAGCCCACACAGACTTAGTCCATTAAGAAATAGATAAATAAAAGTACTAGATGTAACTGTATGAAGCAAGTTTTGCAAGGAGATTTCTCCTTAAATACTTCTTTCTGTCAGAATCTATTTTTTTGATGGAGGTGAAGGAAGCCATCTGAAAGGCTTAGAATTCCAGTCAGATCCTGATGGTTTTTTGGTATTTCAGTGAAATCCCCCTATACAGGAAGGTATTTTTTATCCCCTTTGTTGCAGGACAGTCAGATCTCACAGGCTGAAGGTTTGCTGATTTTCTGTAAGGGGTAGTTTGCTACCAGTGTTCAGAGTTTACTGGCACCCTGTTTTCAAGATGTTTTATGGCTCCCTTGATCTTCTCTCCATGTGTAGCTACCCCATCTCACCAGGTCCTATGCAGAAGGGTTTTCCAGCTGTGAATGCATCTCAAAAAAAGGTGCTGGGAAACTCTGAACCCTGGTTTGCATTGTCAGTGGTCATATCCCCAAAAACCTAGAGACTGTCAGCTCTGGACTGGTTTAAAAGCTGCTGAGTACAAACTGAGGGGAATTGCACGGGGTGGAACCAGAGCAAATGCCTCCTGTGAGTGCCACTCACTGCCCAGGGACTCCAGAGCCGTGTCCCAGGGTCTGAGAGCACTGGGGCTCTGTTTTCCCTGCCAAGGTAACCGTTCTCTTTGCTGTTTCTGATGGTGCCTGCAGTCCCAAGGCACGATCCTACCTTACACACACCCCAGGAAATACTGGGGATGGTGGATGCTGCTTCCTAGAGCTATTCCTGGAGCTTTTCAGCAGTGTGTCCTTACAGCCATAAGCAGCTTGCACTCTAGATTGATTTTCACGCAGTATTCTGCACTCAGCATTGCCTTTCCCCCGGGGCTGGTCCCTTTTCCCTGCCGGTGACTCTGGCTCCTTGCAGAGGGCCGGGCTGGCTCCTGGCTGCTGCCTCGGAAGATGGAGCTCTTGCTCCAGGATAGCAGAGGGAGACTTGGGCAGCCAGCTCTGGAGCCAGGCAGGGGCAGAGGGAGCCCTCGGGAGTGTGAGCTGCTCGTGCTGAGATGCTGGCTTGCATGTTGGCAGTGTGAGCTTGACCGACACCTTGTGGGGTCCCCGGCAGCTTGGAGACTGTTGGGGTCACTTCAGTGCTGGGGGAGAGGCAGGTCTGGCATTTTGTGGGGGCAGTGCTCAGCTCCAGGTTCCCCCAATTAAAACTGTGCCCAGTCACAGAATTTCATAGCAGAATTCATACAAATCTGGGGTTTGGGATTTTTTTCAGGGTGAAGCCTTTAGCTGAATAGAATAAATGGTTTCCTTACCTTCACTTTTCTCCTTACATTTATCCTGTGGCCCCCACAGGATGGCTGATACCTGCATGCCTACAAGCTGTTCCTCTCCCCTCCTGCTACTTATTCCAGTGTTGAGCCAATGCAGATCACAATGAGGTCACAGGGAGCTCTTAGCTGTCCATTTTAAGTTAGCAGAGGGGTATTTGGTGAATGCTTTCCTTCCCAGCCATTCCAGCTTTGCAAATCCACGGTCCTCTTGTAAATCTTGGCCTGGATATGAGCCATGAGGTTCTCTGGGAGGAAGGTGGCTGGCTTGGAGATCATTTTGAAAATGAATTTTCCTTCTGGTGTGCCTCTAGCTGTAAGTTCTGAGATTAGTCCTTGCTGCTTTCTTTCAGACAGATTTATTCTCTCTGCTGTGCAAGCCCATGCTGGATTTGTTTAATGTGCATGATGAAGGAACAGTTTTGTATTGCAGGTGGTAACACACAGAGCTCAAAATGAAAAATATTTGGAGAGAACCGTGCTCAGAAAGAGCAATACTGAGAATGTAACTACTGCTGAGGCTCACCCATGTGTTGGTAGTTTCAGCTGCCTTGCAGGTGGTCAGCATTGTCTGGTTAACTGGCTTGGCTTTTCCATTAACTAACACGGAGATGAAGGTTACCTCTTCATTTCAGGGAAGGCTGGGGCTCCAGCATTGCAATCCCAGCTCCCCTTTGCACTGGAGCAGGAGACAAAACATTTCTGCATGTCCCTGGGTGGCCAGTGTGGCAGGATCACACTGAGCAGCACTGGCAGCTCTGTGCCAGTGCAGAGAAGGGATCTCAGCTGCACTGCAGCACCCAGGGCAGGGCTGGGAACCAGATTCCTTCTGAACACTGTTCCTGCCCAAGCCATTCTGGTGATTTAAGGTGGGCACAGGCTCCTGTTCTACGTGCCAGACCCTCTCCTAGTTTATTTAACATCCTGCTTGCCAAATCCTCTCCTCCAAGCCTTGGGGGACCCCCTGTGCCCACTCTCCATGCCATGAAGCTGAGCAGAGGTTTCCCCCCGCTGGCAGTGCCTGAAGGACTGAGCTTGCATGTCCTGTGTCCCCTGGGCAGGGCACTGGGATTGTCCTGTGCCTGTTGGACAATCACTGGGATTGTCCTGTGCCTGTTGGACAATCACTGGGATTGTCCTGTGCCCCCTGGGCAGGGCACTGGGATTGTCCTGTGCCCCCTGGGCAGGGCACTGGGATTCTCCTGTGTCCCCTGGGCAGGGCACTGGGATTCTCCTGTGCCTGTTGGACAATCACTGGGACCCTCCTGTGCCCCCTGGCCCCTCTGGATGTGCCTGGCCAGGGTGTTGATGCTGTGGCTCGAGCTCTGGCAGGCTGCTGTAGCATGTTGGCTGAAAGGTGCCAGCTGTGCCCACGTCCTGGTTGCGGTGCCACCCGCAGCTGGCAGCTGCAGCACAGCTCTCTGCACTGCCCCTCACGCCCTGAATGCTGCAGCCACAGGCTTCTGTGTCCGTGCAGGGTCCCTTAGAGGCAATGCTGGTTTCTTTTTGGCCTTTGGAGCACAAGGAGGGTCTCTCCTGTCCCTGCAGGGCCAGCTCAGCTGTTCAGTAATGCCAGGAAACCATCTCCAGCCTGACAAAGTAAGGAGCCTAGAGCAGACATCAGCTGGCCTTGCTGGGATAATGAAGGGATAGATGATGGAAATGAGTCAAGCCCTGTGGTCCTGCCTTAGTCAAGGCTCTCACTGAAGCCAGTGGGAGTTCAGCTTTTAGGGAGAAATGCAGGAGTGCTTTTAATTTTTTTTTTCTGTTACACAAATGTTACATGATTACAGGGAACAATGTATTTCTTGGAATGAGATGCTTTAATATTAACATCATTCTCCATTACTTTATAGATGCTGCCCTGTGTAACACGAGAAAGTTCAGTTCCCCTTGAGTTAAGGGTGAACTAGTAGCATCCTATTTTCGATGCTCTGGAAGCTTTCAACTAAGTGTTACAGAGAATTAGCACAGTAGTTGGAGTTGTCCTGTACTATTCATCACATTCACAGACCTCCACAGCCTCATCTGCACTGAGTGGGACCGGGGTCCTAAGCAGCTTCTCATGCCCATAAAGGAAGCCATTCTCTGCTCTTTGTTTTTTTTCTCCTGTGGAAATTATGGTATTTTATTCATTTTTCCTGCTGTTTTTCCATGACATACATCATGTTTCATCAGAGAAGTACACTACAGTTTCCTGACACTTCGTTTAGATGCTTGAAATTTCCTCTACAGGTTGAAGTAGGTTTTGCCTACTTATTAGCTGACAACTGTTGAAGTTGCAAACAAGAGTTGAGTTTTGGTAAACCAAAAAGAAAAAAAAAAACCAAACCAAGAAGCTGTATGTCCTGCTTAATTGATTTTATGGGTGGATTTTTCTTAACTATCTGCTTCAGCTGTGTGAATGTAATGTTCTGTAAGAGCATCATCTGGCTGACTCCCACGTGAGGAAGCAATAACACTAAAGATCCTCTTTTTGCACTTAGGGTCTGACTCCAGCCCATTGCAGTCAGCCTCCCTGATTTCAGTGAGGTCTGGATCAGGTCAAACTGACACCTCAGGGTTGTCACCAATCACTTAGGGTCCCAAAGCATCCCAGGGCTGAAACCTGTATCTAGCAAGTGTTGAAGTTTACATTCATGTATGTACTTTTGGAACACGTGCCATAAATCCAAGCTAAATGTCCATGTTTGCACTAAGGATGTTCTTGTGATAAGACTTTTTCAGCATCTTTAACAGTAACGTACCTATTGAATTTTTGAGAAGGGAAAAAGAATGTTGAAGACTCATAGTTGAATTTTGTGTTTCTTTGTCTAGTTTTGCTTTTGTAGAACATAGGTAGGTGCAGGTGGTTTGAACTTTTAAGCAGATGTGTGCAAAGAGCTCCTGAGTGCGTGGAGAGCAGGGTTAGTGGTGTGCATGCAGTAGTGAGTTTGCTCTGGCCCAGCCAAATGAAATGTTTATACCAGGGACTAAACATCTATGACCTGACCTTTATTAGTGAGCCAGCCCTCAGACACAGCCCCGAGGTCAGGTAGAACATGCTGGGGCTGTTCTGTGCCCGTTTTTGTGTGGAGCAGCTGCTGGCTGGGGCTGCCAGGGCTGTTTCTGCAGGACTGGGCTGAGCCCTGTGCACCCCCAGAGCCAGGACCAGCAGCTCCAAGGCCCAGCTCACCCCAGTGTCCCTCTCTGGAGTCAGTGCAGAGCTGTCAAACCACTGGGGGCTCTTTTCCTCTCCTTTCAAATCCATCACAATGCACTAATGAGTGGGAAAGTCTTCAGTTGGGGCTCTTTATAGTGCTAACAATTCTTGTGGTAACAATACACTTTTTGAGGTACAACTGTAAATACTTGTCTGAAACATAGCACACATTGCATATTGAATGATTTTAATCTTTTTTGTCTTCCATAGTTTTAAATCTAAGCTTTTATTAATTTATGAGGGTGATGAGTTCTGCAGATCTGAATGTACAGTCTGAGGTTTTTAACATTTGAAACTTTGCACACATGGTATGTTCCCCTGAGTATGCTGTTGAACTAGGCTCTCCATGTATATGTATAAATTACAGTAGAGAATTTTCTCTGACTGCAAGTTTAAATGAACCATATTGTATATGTACCTGTAAAAAATGTGTTAAATCTATATTTAAAGATTAAAAACTTGTTAAATAAATCCATCTGAGAATGTGCAATTCTGTTCAAATACACATCTGCTATAATTCTAGGGCGGGAAAAAAGTGCTCACAGTGTTGGTTTTATTTAAATTCCCTGGAACATCTTACAACCTTCTTACATGCATTTTGATTCTAAGGTAAGCAGTAGCAGATGATCCAGTTAGTTTCTTGCTGGATGCAGTGGCAATGAAAGTGGCAGAGGCAGCTTGGCACTCATACTGAAGGCTGAACGAGCAGCTGCTGACACCCTGCCCTGGTTCAGGATGTCCCCAGTGTCCCCTGCCTCCATCCCAGCACAGCTCAGGGTGTCCCCAGCATCCCCTGCACATGACAACATCTGTTTGGGAGCACTGTGGGTGCACTGCTGTGCATGTTCACCTCCCTCCTGGGCTCCTGGGGTGCTGCTGGGGCACCAGTGCCTGCTGGGCTTCCCTTGCCCACACTGCTGTGTGCCAGCTGTGGACAGTGCTGGTGCCACACTGGCCTGGGACACGTGTGAGCCATTCCCCTGCTGATCCACCAACCCCTGCATTCAGGATTTGGGGACTTACACCACCACAGCAGCACCAGTGCATTCAAAAATGCAGCCGTGGGTCATTAGAGGGCTTTTTATTTCCTTATTACCACATTTCCATTGCATTCTCTCAACTTCTGCCTTCCAAGAGCAAAAGTGATTTCATCTAGGAACGTTTATTGAAATGCAGCGATCCCTCCAAGCCACGGGGACTGCCGTGGTCCCTCTCGGTGTGCCCAGTCCATCCTCCAGCGCTCAGGGGAGCCTCGTGGTTTGCTTGATCCACTTGACGTACTTGGAGACCCTGGTGTAGATGCCGTACTTGCCTGGCAGGGCACACTCCTCTCCCCAGCTGGTGATGCCCGTCAGGAACCAGGTGCCCTCGATCTCCGTGGTGTAGGGCCCCCCGCTGTCCCCCTCGCAGGTGTCCCTGCCCCCGGACGGGAAGCCCGCGCAGAACATGTTCTGCAGGATGGTGGTGGAGGTGCTCTTGAGGCAGGTGGGCCGGTCCACAAAGGGCACCTTGAGCACCTGCAGGGTGGTGGCCTTGCGGCCGCGGAAGAGCACCTTGCCCCAGCCGCTGACGGTGCCCACGCCCTGCTTCAGCAGCGCGTTGGTGAACTCACGGCTGCCCAGGCACACGGGGGTCACGTAGCTGTTGAAGGTGAGTGGCTGCTCCAGCTCCAGCAGGGCGATGTCGTTGTGGTACTCGTTGATGGAGGCGTTGTAGGTGGGGTGGGGCAGCAGCCTCACCACCTTGCGCAGCTGCTCGGTGTGGTCGTCGCTCCTCACGTCGTGCTCACCTGCAGAGAGCGAGGGCGCTGGGCTGGGAGCCCCGTGCCGGCACCAGGGACCGTGCCCCGGCGGTGCCAGCCCGGTGCCACTCCGGCCCAGCCCAGAGGCTGCCAAGGGCTGACCCTCGGGTGGCTCTGGGGCTGTGCTGGCCAGGCTGCTGGCTCCTCATCACAGGCAGCTGCAGGTTCCCTCCCGTCTCAGGCCCCTGGCACTACCCAGGTGTGAAGCATCGTCCACTCTGGCACCACAGATGCAGATGCTTTTGCCAGAGTTAGCAGCAAAGTGGCTGTTCTGGGGATTTAGCACCCTCAGAGAGAGAGGTAAGGGGATGTCACCCTTGCAGCAAAGGGGGCAGAACTCGCTGATGAAAAATCTTGGTCTAAAATAAATAATGTATTAGTGAAAAGAAACCTCACCTTCCCCTTTTTAAACCCCCAGAGCCACGGGGCAGGATGGGAGGGCAGCGATGCTGCTCACAGGTGCCCCAGCGCCCGCCCGAGGCTCAGCTGCTCACGGCAGCCTGTCCCCTGCCTCGGGTACAGGTGGGGAGAGGAGAAGGCAGCCTGCTCTGTTCCCTGCCTCGGGTACAGGTGAGCAGAGGGCAGGGCAGGGCAGCTCCGAGCCTCAGGTGGGGCAGGGGCCGCCCGTGGCCGCATCCCCGCAGGCTGAGCAGGATAAGGATGGCTTCTGCCGAGCGCTGTCCCGCAGCCCCCGGGGCGCTCGGGCCGTGCCGTGAGCGTTCTGCCGGCCCGGCCGGGGGTTCTGCTCCGCCCGTCCGGGGGTTCTGCCCGGCCCAGCCGGGGGTTCTGCCGGCCCGGCCGGGGGTTTTGCCGGCCCAGCCGGGGGTTTTACCGGCCCTGCCGGGGGTTCTGCCGGCCCGGCCGGGGGTTCTGCTCCGCCCGTCCGGGGGTTCTGCCCGGCCCAGCCGGGGGTTCTGCCGGCCCGGCCGGGGGTTCTGCCGGCCCGGCCGGGGGTTCTGCCGGCCCAGCCGGGGGTTTTGCCGGCCCGGCCGGGGGTTCTGCCCGGCCCAGCCGGGCTCTCGGAAGGCGCCGAGCAGCCCCAGCCGCACCCGCCCGAGGTGAGCGGGTCCCGCGGGGTTCGGCGGGCACAGGGAATGGCAGCTCCCTGCCAGGCTGTTTGTGCAGCCTAAAGGCAGGGCACACGTGCGGGAGACTTTCGGCTGGCTTTTCTTACGTTAGAGATGTAATGCTGGGAACCTAAAAATGTGATTCAGGGATGAAAGTGGAGAAGCAAAGAATATCGGGGAGGGGAATGCTTCTTCCAGCGGGCTTTAAAGGATGAGCCTGTGGCTCAGGCGGGCTCGCCCGTGGCCGGGCTGTGCTCACACTGCGGTCCAGCAGCCCCGTGCTGCGGAGCAGGGCACACCCGGCTCGCTGCTCCTGCCAGCTGTGGCACTCACGGGGATGATGAAGGGCTCTAAGCTCAGCTGGGCCCCCGCAGCAGCTCAGTCACAGCCCCGAGCAGCTCGAGTCCTGCTGCTGCTGTGGTCAGTGTCCTGTGCCCTGCCCGGTCACTGTGACCCCCGTGCCATCCCTCCCCTCCGCGGTGCTCACCTGCCACGGCCGTGAGGTTGTGGGTGTAGCCCGGCTTCAGGCAGTGAGCCGCCGTCACCAACCACTTCTCGTTGATGATGGATGCGCCGCAGAAGCCCAAGCCTTGGCTGTTCACCAGCAGAACCTGTGGGAGCAGGGGCAAATCACACTCAGGGGTTTGTGGAAGCCTGGACCAGTGGAAAGTGGCCCTGGTCACAGCAGGGGGTTGGAACTGGGTGATGTTTAAGGTTCCTTCCAAGCCAAACTGTTGGGTGACTCTATGATCTGCTGAAACTGATGGAGCCAAAAAATTAGTTGCATTGCTCCTTGCAAAACTCCCTTCCCTCAGCTTACTTTTGGCACATTCATGGACTACAGGGCAATCTGTTGCTGTAGCTCAACCCTTTGTGCCCCACCAGGTAAAGCTGCTGTGACTCTGACTTCTGGCTTTCTTTGCCAGAGGAGAGCCCCGTGCAGGCAAGTTTTGTTGCTCTGGCACAAAACCGTGTATGGAAAGAAGCTGTGCTCCTGTTAGGCGTGAGACTATTGCCAGTGTAACCTCAGAGACAGGCTTTGGATATTTAAAGGTAAGGTGATGTGTACTCAGGAGGGCCTGCTGGGGCTCCAGAAGGTGTGCAGAAGGAGCTGGTACCTGCCAGGGCACCTCTCCCTTCATGCTGTCCGAGCCGCCCACCACGCGCGTGCCCGTCCTGAGCACGGGGGTGATCCTCGTGGGGGCTGCCGTGCTGCTCTCCGTGCCATTGCCCTGCTCCTCCTCAGGGCCGTCCTCAGCGTCCTCACCCGTCGTGTTCCAGTGCTCAAAGGTGTTCATGGAGCGGGTCAGCTTCCTCTTGGCCTCGGGAGCCGTGATCCTCCCGCAGGGATATGGCACTGGGAGAGGAACAGTCACAGCTGTGGCTGCCTGGGTCACGGTGACAGCCACCAGAGGGGAGGCTAAGGGAAATCTGCCTCACCTCAGCACAGTTTGGGACCAGCTCAGGGCTCTGGGCTGAGCTTGTGCACCCTGGGCATGTGTGTCTGTGCCTCGCAGCCCCAGTGTGAGCCATATGGAAAACTAGCATCAATTGTTTCTGGGCTTTGGGAGTGACATCTGAGCAGCTTCAGCAGTGAAAAAAGCTGGTGATGAGCACCTGTGCCTGAAGGGCTGGGGCAGCTGTGCCTGCTCTTGGCAGGATGTGTGCTGCATACCTGGGAATCCTGTGCTGGCCATTTCCAGAGCAATAAACAGCCAGCTGGAGAGGGCAGGAAATAACAGCTGCCAATTGTACAGATAATCCTGCTTGGCACCAAGGTGAGGAAAACATTAATAAACTCTTCCTAGAGTTGTATTTTTTCCCTGTTAATGAAGAACTCATCTGTAGGCTCGTTTCAGATGAGCTCTTCCCATTCCTCTCCCACGCAGTGTGTGCTGAATTCCTGCTGGTGGTGGCAGTCAAAATAGTAAATAGCACCAGGCATTGTCTTTCATCTGAAAAGCTCTCAGAAGCACTGAGCAAACAAACATTAGTGTAAAATCAGATGTGAGTGTGGCCTACTGAGACTTCACCCTTTAGTTTTAAACAGCTCACTTTAGGGACAGGACTCAAATGAGTGTTGAGTGATGGAAAGTGGTACCTGCAGGCTTAGCCTATGAAGTGAAGGTTTCAGAGCCAACAAAACAAAGCTTCTGCAGGAAGGACAATCACCCAGCCTGAAAGATGATCTTCTTGCTAACTGCAGACCTTCCTGGCCCAGTGAAAGTGATACAGCAAGTTGGGCAACACAGCCTGAGCTCTTGCTGAGATCCTCTGCTCACAGGATTCCCAGCCTAGGATGCTTCCCAAACTGATTGCTGGCAGCCAGCACTTTCAGGAGGTCAGCGTTCCCTGCTGCAGCTGACAGAGCTGCCCTGTGTGTGAGCTTGGGTGTGCAAACCTGCTGCAGTCAGCTGTTAGAAATGTGATGGCATCAAATGTTAAACTGACTTCAGATGACCAACATTTATCTGCTCAGTCTCTTCTCTGCCAGAGGTGCTTCTGAGATGCTCATGCCCAGTTAATTGGCTGTGTTGTGGTGGCTGGGTCTGCACGTGTCAGTGTGGTTCTGGGTACTGCAGTGGTCTAGGGGAGCACAAGGA